GTTGGGAGGTGTGGGCAACCTAAACCCTAAACACGTAGGCAACCTGTCCTCGACCATTTCAGAGTATGTTTGTCTGTGAGTGATAGAGTGAAGGCCATGCGAAGCTGTTTGTTGACTGACTTTGCTCCTTGGGACATTCTGTGCTCCGGAAAAGAGCCCGACAAAAAAAACTCTAAACCCTGAACCCTCTCCTTGCGGTTGAAAAGGCGTGCCCGGCATGGCAATTTGCCCAGCGATGAATACACAGCCAGGAGCTCCTCCAGAGATTCCTGGTGAACTGATATGCGGGTTTCTGAGAGGTGTCTGGGTTTGAGGTATATAAAGGTTCTGCAGCAGTATTTAAAGCTTCTGAGGGATAATAGAACTATAGGGCCAGGCGATTTCTCAACGTGACGGGACCCTCTTTGGAGGTTATAGGGTTCTATAGAGGTTTTGTCCGACTCAAGGGGTGCAAGTCCACCAGTGCAATATCACTGCGGGGGACCCCGAGTTAAAGAAGTAGATATTCATCAAGTCATGCAAGGTTAGAGGATGTGGTGCGGTTCGGGTTCTGACGGATGTGAGGTACCAGCTTATACAATCGCAGGTGATACTGTGGCATGGTTGTTGGTATTTGTTTCCAGAGGTCCTATTATGTTTGAAATCCGCAAGGTTCCTAGACCAGCTCAGAAGTGGGCCCTGAATAATTTTCTGGTAGGGTCGTCTTCATTTCATGAAGTCTCCTACTACCAATACCGGTAGCCCTTTATTAGACGAAGGGGAATTTGCGGGGAGGTACTATAGGGGGCAGGAAGGGAACCCACGAATCTGAGAGCAGTCTTCGCTTCATAGTGGCACGGTTGCGGGGAGGGCTTAATTTGTAGTGGGACTGTGGTGAGGCTGCATTTAAGATCATTTAAGACATGCTTATAGTATCTTCAACTGCGCTTGCCTGTCGGTATCCTAGAAAAATGCCAACAGATTATAGTATCACACTGCGCAACCAGCGAACAATGTTTGCAGGGCCAGCTTCAAACACCAAAGCTTCTATTTCCCTAAACCCCAAGCCCGAAACCTTAAACCGTAAATCCCAAACCCTAAACCCTAAACCCTAAACCGCATGCGGCTAGGATGAGGCTTTCATGCGACCTTTAACAAAATCCCCCGACAAATTCAAAGCAGGTACTCATCCTTCCATCATTCTGATGACCTTTGCCTTTGCCATAGCTACTAAAAGTGGCTATGATCATAACATGCACTCTGGCCTTCACAGCTATGCTGTTTAGGTTCGACGATGATTAGCCATTTGCTATTATTGCTGCTATTCAGCCAGCCTCTGGGAGCTAAGGATTTACCTGCCTCAGTGTGAGACTCCTTGCAACTACCTGCAGGATGTACAAGTCCCCTGGCAGAGGGTCAAGATGAATAATGAGAGTGTTCTGTGGTTACCAAGATCATTGATGCGAGCCCCCAACTAGCTGTGCATAGGGCTTGGCAGGGGTCACATTCGTGGGCTCATAGGCTTTCTTGGGGAGTAGTAGCAGTTAACCCTAAACCCAAATCCCTCCAGCCATACAACTCTACACGCAATTTCTGATCCTCGCAAAGTAGGTGAAGAAGGTTTTGTTTGGTTGAGAAAGATCCGGACTTGTGCTTGGCTTCTACTGATATTCCGTCTTCCTGTCAGTGCCGCTGAGGGGTAACCTTGGACCAGGACTAACCCTAAACCCTAAACCTTAAACCCTACTACGCAACCCTAAGTCCAGACTAAAAAGTCGAACCTCAACGCATGAACGCATATGAAAAGCTTCTGCCCCTGAGAGCAAAGTCCTTCACTGCAAAATGAAACATTCGTACTACGGCAAACTCGCTGAACAATTCGTGATAGATACTGGCAGGCAGGTGTGATTATAAGGGAGTGGCAACAGGCACAAATATATTGCCTCCATGAGGATCCTGCGTGTAAGCCATTAAGAGTTTGGTTTGATTTGTTGCTTTACAGCCTTAACAGAATCAGGTAAAGATTTGATGGTTTCCCTAAACCAGGGAACCCCAATCCAGACCCCTAAACATTATAATTATAATCCATATCATGATGATTTTGGGAAACCCTAAGCCCTAAAGATTTGTTTTCGTTTTCTTGTCCATTATCCTTGTAATATAACCCCCTATATAACTGTGAGGATTTTAGGAAACCCTAAACCCTTAAGCCCATCTAGCAAGGAAAGTCCGCTTCAAGGTTCAAGGCTTCGACTCTTAATCAATCAGGTTGCCCTATGAGTGTTTCGTGATGTGTAAATCACAATATTTGTAATCCTTAATATGGCGATTCTCAAAGAGGAGGCTCCAATTGCCGGAATCCCCATGTACAATTTTCAAACCGCTACAAGCTAAGCCCTAAACCCGAAACCCTGAACCCGATACAACTCTACAAACCAGACCCCGAGAATTGAATTTTGCATACCTAAGTAGTCATTCATGTACATCCCTAGACCCGGGTTTAGGGTTTATGGTTTAGGGTTTAGGGTTCATGTACATCCCTAGATCCCAAAATGGCTTATCCCATCCCATCTTGCAAAATTCTCACCACGCATTGTGAAATACTATTCAATACAGGGTGGGGTCACCGTGTTCTAGAATCAACTTTGAACCATAAACCCTACATCCAAATTTCAGACCTTAAATCCTAAAGACTAAACCCCAAATACTTGACTCCCAACCCTGAACCCTAAATACTATGCCCCAAAGCGCAAACCCTGAACATTCAACCCGGAATCCTAAACCCTAAACCTACCCTAAACCGTAATCCCCTATGTAACCCCCCTTTTAAGAGGTTTAGACTATAGCTCAAACCCAAACTCCAAACTTGGCAGCTTGGCTATCAGGCTCCTACGGGCTATGCAAGCTGCCAGGATACTCTGACCTGTCCCGGTGGTGAAAATGCCACAGGAGCGGGTGAAGTAAGATGCAGGGTTTAGGGTTAGGGTTGGGGGTTAGGGTTTGGGGGTTTATGGTCTCGTGCTTAGGAGTAAAAGGTTCAGGGTTTGAGTTAAATCCCCCTTCAACGTGGCATTCTCGATGGACTTTACCTTTCCTAAATCCGGTATATGACATGGTAGGAACCCTCAACCCCATTTAAACCCTAAAGTGAACCCTAAACCTCCCCCACCCTAGACCCGAAAGGCAACACTTTAAGGCCAGGCCCCAAATAGTAGTTTCCCTAAATAAGGGGACTAACATACCCCCAAGGTATTATAATCCTTATGATGGGGACCCCCCAAAAAGTAGTCCTAATTTTGGGAAACCCCCAAATCATACTCTTCCCTAAACCCTGAACCCTAAACTCTAAAACCTAAACCCTAAACCCTAAACCCGAAACATGCATACGCAACTGCCTAGACCTTGCTGGAACCCTGAATCTCTGAAACCCCGAAACCATGAACCACTAAGTTACCCAGGCCCAAGCCTGAAACATGCACCTAAGGGTTTAGGGTTTAGGGTATAGGGTATGAGTAGTATGTCTAATGGGGAGTAAAATTCGGAATATAGAAGGGCCTAAGGTTGCATGGGTCGTAAAACAAGAAACACCTTCATATGAGATTATCTACAAACTGAAAGGAGCCCCACTGATGGATGGCCTTATAGGATTTGATCTGGAGATGCTCTCTTATGGGCAAATAAAGTGTTTCTCAGACTGATCGCTAGAGATAGTCCCCCTTAAGTAGATAGAATATGGCATTGGGTATATTTTTAAAAAAGATCCCCATGTACCATACATTCTATTTACTTAAGGCACCTAGAATTGCGACATTTTTCTAAGATCTCCGGGTATTCTCTTCTTGAGAGAAGGTCTGGGTAGGCCCCTGAAATATTTAATATTTTCCCTAATGGCGTTAATAACCCTATATACTAATATTCTTTAAAGGGCTTTGGGGGCCAACCCAGAGGTTCACCCCTAAAAAGCAAGGGCCTGCGTAGCTCAACATAACCTCCAAAAATCCTGCAACATGGGATTCTTTCCCGTGGAGGCTGGACCTGCGCAGCAGGCTACGGTGGCGATGCGACCACAACTTGCTCCATCGATGCCGAGAGCCTGGTCTTTTCATCACTAACTCTGGTACAATCGGAATGTATACGGATAATTGCCGTGGTCCCCTGTGGTACTATTATATATATATATGTATATGTATCGGTGGGGGTGCAACTTATAAGGGTTAGGGTTTAGAGCCTGGTGGTTCCCGATTTAGGGGTGCATTGCTGTAGAAGTGAGGCTCATACGGAGGCTTTGTCCAAGATCACTGAAGGTTGCGGGGGACTTCATCAACATGTTTGCAGAGAAATGTTGGCGCGTGATACTCCTATAGTCCCCCTTCAGTAGATAGAATATGGGGTATATGGGGAGCTTATTACAATAAACCCAAAGCCATATTCCATCTACTTAAGAGGGACTATATCCTGAATAGATGTTGGGGCCGAGCAGATCGGCTCAAAGTCAAAGGTCCCTTCCTGAACTTTCCTTGATGTTACCCTAATATAAAACTATATTCGGATAATGGAAAATAAAATGGAAACTACTATAATGGGTTTATTTTGGACTTGGATATGTCCGAATCTAACGGTTCAGTATGCGTGTCTTTAATTTTCGCGCATTGCTTGCCCTGAATGCGTTTCTTACCGCCATTTTTACTTGTTTGTTTTGAAAGTTGTGTGGTCAAACTCAGTCGAAATTTGCCTTAGGTTAGTTCTGAAGCATGTATGAAGTCCAAACGTCACCGTTGTGGCACGGGTCGCCTACATTGCTCAACTTCCGCGATAGTCTGGCCGCTGTGTTTTGGGTCACATCGTCAAAGAGGGTTTGGGCCTGGCAGGAACTGGCTTTGAGGATTCTGGGTAATCAAGGGGTCCACAGGTGCTTTTTCTGTCCATTTCTTTTGTCTCGTAGCCTCCTGTGCTGAGTAAGGAACAATTGCAGCGCCAGCTACATTTTCAGCGGCTGCCTTCCGCTCACGATCTGTGCGGGTATGACGAATCCTGACCCATGCAGGCGTGAGTCGGTTCTTGTGCAGAAGCCTGAAACCCTGGGCAGTCAGCGGGAGGGTCTCCTGTACGTGTTTGGCATTCCCCAAACCTGTCTCATGGTTCCCTATATTTCCTTTGCGAACCGTTTCAGATAACACCTTTTGGTTCTCAGCACCCCCCCAAGGTGATGCTTTTCTTTGGGCTCATACAGGAACCTCCTTCGCCTTACTGGTGCTTATGGGGGAGTTGGGGAGTGAATACAGGTACCATACTGGGGGCCCTTAATAAGCCCTATAGGTTGGGTACTGCCCCCCCTCAGAAACAGTTGGATAATAATCATAATATGGTTATATATAGCCCTTAATGGGACCCCTAATATAGACTATTACTGGGTGGGGGCAGTGCCTCACCTATAGGGATGATTGTAGGATCCATTCACCTACTCTCCCTGAAGCACCATTGAGCCGCAGGTACATACACAGCTGCATTCCGGGCCTCCAACCTGGAGAGCAATGTGAATTCCGGTGTCGGCCGCTGCTGGGCTCCAGGGGAGGGGGGTGGGCAGGGGGGGGGTTTAGGGGTTTGGGGCTTTAGGGGTTTAGGGGTTTTGCGTTTCAGGGGTTGGGGTTTAAGATTTGGGAGGTTTATGGTGTAAAAGCGTTTAGGGTTAATAGTTTGGGTTGTGAAGTTTTGAGTTCAGGATTGAGGGTTAAGGGCATGAAGTTTGGCGTTTGAGACCTGGGTGAAGGGTTTAAGGCCGAGGGCTAGTGGCTTTGGATTTTGGCTATGGGGTTTGAGGTAGAAACACGAACGCTGTTGGCAGTAGCAGTGTATTGGTGATCACGGCACTTGGAACTACAGTGGTTGTCAGCATGCATATGCAAGTATCAGTCCATCCGACCCTAAGCCCTAAATCCTAAACCCAAATGGACCTTCACTCATGCGAGCCCCTAACGAGGCAAGTCGGCTATCTGGGTTCTGCATGGGTTACACTGCGATTGGTACGTGAAAGCACGCAGAAGGGAAGTCTGATGGTGGTTCATATCACAACGCCGAGACACAACGACCCATGCGGTTGACGCTACAGATTCTTGCATGACCCTAAGTACCTTATACCTTAGGAATTATGATACTGTAGAATACCAGGGCTACATAACCCTAGTACACTCCAAGGTATACAATGTTTAGGATCATGCAAAAATTTCGGTATCCCTCCAAATTAGGACCCCATTGGAGCCACCTGAGGCTCATCGATTCCAAGTTTTGGGGGTTTTGGGGTTACCCACCCTGAGTCCTAAATCCTAAACCCTAAATCCTAAACTCTAAACCGTAAATCCCAAACTCTAACCCTAAATCCTAAACCCTGAATCCTAATCTCTAAACCCAAAATCAAAATCTCTAAACCCTAAATCCTAGCCCCCAAACCCTACTTGAAAAATCTCTGCGTTCTGCTGCGGTGCACGATGTCAAGGCCTTCTTTCCTGGGAGATCCATTACCTGGCACCTGCCCCACAGACAACACAGCATCTCGGTTGCCGGCACTCTATCCCCAAGAAGGGTTAGACAAGGATTCTATAAGGATTGTATGGTGATTTTATGGGGATTTCATAGGGATTTTATAGGGATTTCATAGGGATTTTACAGGGATTGTCTAGGGATGTTGTAAGGGTTGTATACGGAATTTTATGGTGATGTATCGTCTCGGCTGCCTGCATATGAGCTAGACTAAGGGTTATTGGAGTTAGAGTTTAGGGTCTAGGGATCTTATCGGGGTAAGGGGAAAGAAGGTAGATACGACTGTAGAATGGAAAGCCAAATGGAAAAGAACATTGACGCAGTTAAATGGAAACGGGTTGTATAGGGAAGCATGAGCTACTGTCGATATCAGGGTTACCGGGGCACCGTTCAGGGGGAACATAGGGGTCCCTTTGGTAGCCTAGCATAGTCCTTCATATGTTCCTGAATAGGTTGACTGTAGCTCATATCTACTCCCGCACAAAGTGTTACCCCGGGTTTCTAACCCTAAGTCCTAAACCTCTTCGAGTCATATAAAGATGTACGTGCACCCCGCCATGATGCACCGGAGAGGTCTGTTTCAGCACTCAGGGTTCGTACCAATACCTTTTTGTTTTCTATGCCGAGGAATTGAGTTTCCATACGAAGCAATTTGGTATCTATTCTGTATAGAAGACATGTTCTAAAGCAATCGAAGCCGAAAAATCTAAGAGACAATTTATCCTAAGCAAATTTCTCTGGGCCTTTGGGTTCGTTTGTACACATGTTCCTTAAACAGTTCCTAACAAACAAGAATCATCCAAGAAATGACGGAGATCCTCAATTCTGATCAGACTTCTTTACGTTTGTTAAGAAAATACATTCCTGTACAACAGCCTTATACACAACCAAGACCTAAGAAAGGAAGGGGACAGTTAATTCCCAAATAGATTCCCTTGGCCTCATTTTTTCAATTCCTTTGTAAAGGCTTTGTAAAATCAAAAGAAACTGACGAAATCAAGGAGTCCCTAATTGAAATCAACTTTCCTCGGGCTCCACCAGAAAGTCAACTATAAAGAACAAACATGTTTTAAACACAAAAACAACAGACAAATCCCTAATTCTTTCGGTTGGGTTCTTTTATCATAGAACTTCTTTCATACAAGCCGTATATAAGCAGTCGAAACCTAGAAAACGGAAGAAACGGCTACTTTTGATAAGATTTCATCTGGGTTCCCTTACATGATGCCCTTCGTCTAACGCCATACAAAGGCAGCAGAGGCCTGGGAAATAAAGGAGATCCCTGTTCCTTTTTGATTCCTCATAAAATCCCCATAAAAATCTTTACATAACCCTGACAGTTTCCCCATATCATCCCTATAATCTTGCTATCTATTTTGATGATCTCACTGCTAGGACCCCTCGCGACCACCAGTCGTTCCGGTGCTGCCAAGCTGCGAACCACAATGCACCGAACCATCAACACCGCCACAAGGTGCCGCTTAAGGGTTGAGGGTCTGGGTTCAGCAATGCTATACGAAAGTTTCTTGAAAGATTCCCTATAGAATCCTGTGGGGGACCCTGAAAAGCCTGTGTTGGAGAACGCCACGATGTGGTTTCTCGCTACTCCCCTCTCCCGAATGACAATCCCCTCGCCCCTTCATGGCAAAAAATCATCCAAATATATGATGGTACTGCTTTCGGGTAATTCTTATTAGGGGTTGGCTTTGTGTTGGGGGCACCATGGGGACTATTCTGCTTCCTGCATTCCATACCTCCCAGAACCCTAAACCCCAAGCCCCAAACCCAAACCCTAAGCCTCAAACCCAATCCCAAACCCTAAACCCTAAACCCCTAAACCCCTAAACCCTAAACCCCAAACCCTAAACCCCAAACCCTAAACCCCAACTCCTAACTCTCGCTTCTTTAGAGCAGAAGCTTGCATGGCACTTAAGCTATGTAACAGCCAGGTGCCCCCCAGAATTCAAGGGGTTACGAAGTCTCCCGCAGACTGCAAGTGCTAACCCTGAGCCAAAAAGCCCTAAACCCTAACCCTGAGCCCCAGTCCCTTGACCTTTGCTGATTGCAGGCTACAACCGTTCCGGGGACAACTGGACTTGCGCAAGCGGCTACCTGGGCGCAGCGGTGCCAAACTGTGCTCCGGACCGAAACTGTGTGATGCGCCCCGCGGATGCAGCCTTAAAGGGGTCCCCTGGAGGCTTCAGGTGCTAAAAAGGATTACTGACAGTCAGGGTGGAGGGCACGCAACAGGTATCTTGTCGGTCATTTGCTCAGGGTCTAGGATTTCAGGAGCCCGCATTCTTGGATACTGTGACTTTCTCACATGTGTTCATGCTGAAACTACGTGCTGCTTGGACGCGGATTTGAGTGCTGAAGCCTGCGCTCAGGATTCACTTTGAGTGGTTGCGTGGAGAAGGACTCTCGGTCCGAGTTGGTATGTTGCAAGCGAAGCCGATTAATGTAGGGTCTTGAAAGTTTTGAAAGAGCCACGCTGCTTAGCCGGTCTGTCGAGTTCTTACCATTCTTGTAGCAGGAGCGTCTTACAAATCCACAGCTGCACACGACATTCTGGGGGGTAATAGGGAATAAGGGAATATACTCCCACATAATCCCCGTATAATGTGTTTCCTTATTCCTTACTTACCAGCAGAAAGACAAGGTACCCTGTTCTGCACCACCTTTGCCCAGTGGCTGCGAGTATGTGGGGGCCACAGACTGCCCGAAGTCAGCTTGAATACCTGAGGTTTAGCGATTTGGTTTAGAGTTTAGGTTCCAGGGGTACTCCCCTCAATACCTCCATGAAGCTTTAAATCGCTGCCTAGATCCTAGCGCAGGCTCACGAGCCCAATCAGTTTAAGCTTCTGCGTTCCAGCTGGCCTGCAGCAGAAGCCAGAAAGTTGCAACATCAGTGTCTCCCGGACTTAGGAAGCGTGACAGATAATATCAATTCCATGCTCCAAATTTGACTCTGGAATATGAACCTTAAGCCCTAAGCCTTGTGCTTACCTCTGGTTTGCAAGGAATGAAGGAATGGATCCGTGTCGTAGTCCCTACAGTTTCCATTTGCTTTTGCCTTCCTTCATCCGTTACCAGAGGCCAGTATAACAACCCTAAACCTTAAACCCAACACCCTAAACCCCAAATACGTTGAATACCCTGAATACCCCAAACCCTAGATACTTTAAATACCCCAAATACCCTAGATACCTTAAATCCTGAATCCTGAGCCCTCAATTTCCTAGATACCCTAAACCATGAATACCCTGAATTCTAAATACTCTAAATACCCTAAATATCCAAAACCCTACATACCTCATGAGTCCAGGTCACAAATTGTTCTACCCAGATGCTGCCGGGGGAAACCTGCCAAGTGGATTGCCAAGCCCCCTTTTACGGGAACACCACGAACGCTAGCTGCCAGGGCCTCAGCTTCTACTTGGTTGTGTAGGATTTTGGGTTTGAGGGTTTAGGGTTTTAGATTTCGGGTATTCAAGGCACTCAGGATTTGGAGTTCTAGGGTTCAGGGGTGTAGGACGCAGGATCTTTGATTTTAGGTTCTAGGGCCAAGGGTATGTATAGTTGTAGGGTCGAGGGTTTAGGATTTAGGGTTAGGATATCAAAGGTTCAGAATGAAGAAATTATGGTTGCAGGGTTCTCTGGATCCTCGAGTCCGGATCCTTCACTCACACTTTTGGACATGGGTTTAAGACCTTTCAACCAAGCTTCCTAGGATCCAAAACCCCCAAGTCCACGCATGGAGTTGAGAAACAGTCGGTGCTATACCATGTATTCTTGCACCCTCATAATCCGGCCAGAATCCGCAATATATCCTCAGGGTCCCCGAGGGTATCCCTATTTAGATAAGCTCCTCATATGAGGGGGAGATCGTCAACCCTGAAGCCTAAACCCCTAAGCCCTATAAGCCCTAAACCCTGCACC